TCGGGTGAATGAGATGAGTTGCGGTGTATGGGATGAGTTGAGGTGAATGAGATGAGTTGGGGTGAACGAGATGAGTTGGGGTGAACGAGATGAGTAGGGGTGAATGCGATGAGTTGGGGTGAATGGGATGAGTTGGGGTGAATGAGATGAGTTGGGGTGAATGAGATGAGTTGGGGTGAATGAGATGAGTTGGGGTGAATGAGATGAGTTGGGGTGAATGAGATGAGTTGGGGTGAATGAGATGAGTTGGGGTGAATGAGATGAGTTGGGGTGAATGAGATGAGTTGGAGTGAATGAGATGAGTTGGGGTGAATGAGATGAGTTGGGGTAAATGAGATGAGTTGGGGTGAATGAGATGAGTTGGGGTGAATGAGATGAGTTGGGGTGAATGAAATGACTTGGGGTGAATGAGATGAGTTGGGGTGAATGAGATGAGTTGGGGTGAATGAGATGAGTTCGGGTGAATGAGATGAGTTGCGGTGAATGGGATGAGTTGAGGTGAATGAGATGAGTTGGGGTGAACGAGATGAGTTGGGGTGAACGAGATGAGTTGGGGTGAATGCGATGAGTTGGGGTGAATGGGATGAGTTGGGGTGAATGAGATGAGTTGGGGTGAATGAGATGAGTTGGGGTGAATGAGATGAGTTGGGGTGAATGGGATGAGTTGGGGTGAATGAGATGAGTTGGGGTGAATGAGATGAATTGGGGTGAATGGGATGAGTTGGGGTGAATGAGATGAGTTGGGGTGAATGAGATGAGTTGGGGTGAATGGGATGAGTTGGGGTGAATGAGATGAGTTGGGGTGAATGAGATGAGTTGGGGTGAACGAGATGAGTTGAGGTGAATGAGATGACTTGGGGTGAATGGGATGAGTTGGGGTGAATGAGATGAGTTGGGGTGAATGGGATGAGTTGGGGTGAATGGGATGAGTTGGGGTAAATAAGATGAGTTGGGGTGAATGAGATGAGTTGGGGTGAACGAGATGAGTTGAGGTGAATGAGATGAGTTGGGGTGAATGGGATGAGTTGAGGTGAATGAGATGAGTTGGGGTGAATGGGATGAGTTGGGGTGAATGGGATGAGTTGGGGTGAATGAGATGAGTTGGGGTGAATGAGATGAGTTGGGGTGAATGGGATGAGTTGGGGTGAATGAGATGAGTTGGGGTGAATGAGATGACTTGGGGTGAATGGGATGAGTTGGGGTGAATGGGATGAGTTGGGGTGAATGAGATGAGTTGGGGTGAATGAGATGACTTGGGGTGAATGGGATGAGTTGGGGTGAATGAGATGAGTTGGGGTGAATGGGATGAGTTGGGGTGAATGGGATCAGTTGGGGTGAATGAGATGAGTTGGGGTGAATGAGATGAGTTGGGGTGAACGAGATGAGTTGAGGTGAATGAGATGAGTTGGGGTGAATGGGATGAGTTGAGGTGAATGAGATGAGTTGGGGTGAATGGGATGAGTTGGGGTGAATGGGATGAGTTGGGGTGAATGAGATGAGTTGGGGTGAATGAGATGAGTTGGGGTGAATGGGATGAGTTGGGGTGAATGGGATGAGTTGAGGTGAATGAGATGAGTTGGGGTGAATGGGATGAGTTGGGGTGAATGGGATGAGTTGGGGTGAATGAGATGAGTTGGGGTGAATGAGATGAGTTGGGGTGAACGAGATGAGTTGAGGTGAATGAGATGACCTGGGGTGAATGGGATGAGTTGAGGTGAATGAGATGAGTTGAGGTGAATGAGATGAGTTGGGGTGAATGGGATGAGTTGGGGTGAATGAGATGAGTTGGGGTGAATGAGATGAGTTGGGGTGAACGAGATGAGTTGAGGTGAATGAGATGACCTGGGGTGAATGGGATGAGTTGAGGTGAATGAGATGAGTTGGGGTGAATGGGATGAGTTGGGGTGAATGGGATGAGTTGGGGTGAATGAGATGAGTTGGGGTGAATGAGATGAGTTGGGGTGAATGGGATGAGTTGGGGTGAATGGGATGAGTTGGGGTGAATGAGATGAGTTGGGGTGAATGAGATGACTTGGGGTGAATGGGATGAGTTGGGGTGAATGAGATGAGTTGGGGTGAATGGGATGAGTTGGGGTGAATGGGATGAGTTGGGGTGAATGAGATGAGTTGGGGTGAATGAGATGAGTTGGGGTGAACGAGATGAGTTGAGGTGAATGAGATGAGTTGGGGTGAATGGGATGAGTTGAGGTGAATGAGATGAGTTGGGGTGAATGGGATGAGTTGGGGTGAATGGGATGAGTTGGGGTGAATGAGATGAGTTGGGGTGAATGAGATGAGTTGGGGTGAATGGGATGAGTTGGGGTGAATGGGATGAGTTGAGGTGAATGAGATGAGTTGGGTTGAATGGGATGAGTTGGGGTGAATGGGATGAGTTGGGGTGAATGAGATGAGTTGGGGTGAATGAGATGAGTTGGGGTGAACGAGATGAGTTGAGGTGAATGAGATGACCTGGGGTGAATGGGATGAGTTGAGGTGAATGAGATGAGTTGAGGTGAATGAGATGAGTTGGGGTGAATGGGATGAGTTGGGGTGAATGAGATGAGTTGGGGTGAATGAGATGAGTTGGGGTGAACGAGATGAGTTGAGGTGAATGAGATGACCTGGGGTGAATGGGATGAGTTGAGGTGAATGAGATGAGTTGGGGTGAATGGGATGAGTTGGGGTGAATGGGATGAGTTGGGGTGAATGAGATGAGTTGGGGTGAATGAGATGAGTTGGGGTGAATGGGATGAGTTGGGGTGAATGAGATGAGTTGGGGTGAATGAGATGACTTGGGGTGAATGGGATGAGTTGGGGTGAATGGGATGAGTTGGGGTGAATGAGATGAGTTGGGGTGAATGAGATGACTTGGGGTGAATGGGATGAGTTGGGGTGAATGAGATGAGTTGGGGTGAATGGGATGAGTTGGGGTGAATGGGATGAGTTGGGGTGAATGAGATGAGTTGGGGTGAATGAGATGACTTGGGGTGAATGGGATGAGTTGGGGTGAATGAGATGAGTTGGGGTGAATGGGATGAGTTGGGGTGAATGGGATGAGTTGGGGTGAATGAGATGAGTTGGGGTGAATGAGATGAGTTGGGGTGAACGAGATGAGTTGAGGTGAATGAGATGAGTTGGGGTGAATGGGATGAGTTGAGGTGAATGAGATGAGTTGGGGTGAATGGGATGAGTTGGGGTGAATGAGATGAGTTGGGGTGAATGAGATGAGTTGGGGTGAATGAGATGAGTTGGGGTGAATGGGATGAGTTGGGGTGAATGGGATGAGTTGAGGTGAATGAGATGAGTTGGGGTGAATGGGATGAGTTGGGGTGAATGGGATGAGTTGGGGTGAATGAGATGAGTTGGGGTGAATGAGATGACTTGGGGTGAATGGGATGAGTTGGGGTGAATGAGATGAGTTGGGGTGAATGGGATGAGTTGGGGTGAATGGGATGAGTTGGGGTGAATGAGATGAGTTGGGGTGAATGAGATGACTTGGGGTGAATGGGATGAGTTGGGGTGAATGAGATGAGTTGGGGTGAATGGGATGAGTTGGGGTGAATGGGATGAGTTGGGGTGAATGAGATGAGTTGGGGTGAATGAGATGAGTTGGGGTGAACGAGATGAGTTGAGGTGAATGAGATGAGTTGGGGTGAATGGGATGAGTTGAGGTGAATGAGATGAGTTGGGGTGAATGGGATGAGTTGGGGTGAATGAGATGAGTTGGGGTGAATGAGATGAGTTGGGGTGAATGAGATGAGTTGGGGTGAATGGGATGAGTTGGGGTGAATGGGATGAGTTGAGGTGAATGAGATGAGTTGGGGTGAATGGGATGAGTTGGGGTGAATGGGATGAGTTGGGGTGAATGAGATGAGTTGGGGTGAATGAGATGAGTTGGGGTGAATGGGATGAGTTGGGGTGAATGGGATGAGTTGAGGTGAATGAGATGAGTTGGGGTGAATGGGATGAGTTGGGGTGAATGGGATGAGTTGGGGTGAATGAGATGAGTTGGGGTGAATGAGATGAGTTGGGGTGAACGAGATGAGTTGAGGTGAATGAGATGACCTGGGGTGAATGGGATGAGTTGGGGTGAACGAGATGAGTTGAGGTGAATGAGATGACCTGGGGTGAATGGGATGAGTTGGGGTGAATGAGATGAGTTGGGGTGAATGAGATGAGTTGGGGTGAACGAGATGAGTTGAGGTGAATGAGATGACCTGGGGTGAATGGGATGAGTTGAGGTGAATGAGATGAGTTGGGGTGAATGGGATGAGTTGGGGTGAATGAGATGAGTTGGGGTGAATGAGATGAGTTGGGGTGAACGAGATGAGTTGAGGTGAATGAGATGAGTTGGTGTGAATGGGATGAGTTGAGGTGAATGAGATGAGTTGGGGTGAATGGGATGAGTTGGGGTGAATGGGATGAGTTGGGGTGAATGAGATGAGTTGGGGTGAATGAGATGAGTTGGGGTGAATGAGATGACTTGGGGTGAATGGGATGAGTTGGGGTGAATGAGATGAGTTGGGGTGAATGGGATGAGTTGGGGTGAATGGGATGAGTTGGGGTGAATGAGATGAGTTGGGGTGAATGAGATGAGTTGGGGTGAACGAGATGAGTTGGGGTGAATGAGATGAGTTGGGGTGAACGAGATGAGTTGGGGTGAACGAGATGAGTTGAGGTGAATGAGATGACCTGGGGTGAATGGGATGAGTTGGGGTGAACGAGATGAGTTGAGGTGAATGAGATGACCTGGGGTGAATGGGATGAGTTGAGGTGAATGAGATGAGTTGGGGTGAATGAGATGAGTTGGAGAAAATGAATGAGCGAGTATAGATCAGATGTTGAGACTGCTAGTGCTGAATTTTGAGTCGATAATGTGGTCTGTTCAGGTGTAAGCTGGGTGCCTGTGTGCATTGAGTGCATGTGTCATGGTGTGTTGGTAACACCAATGCATAGAACAAGGATTGGCATTGACATCAGTTCGTTCTAAGAGTACTTACAGTAGAAGTGTCTATGTTGATGGTGCTTGTATTGAGCATGCTCGTATTGAATCTGCTTGTATCGAGACCACTGGTTGCCTCCAGAAGAGCAATAACTGCATCCCTTAGCTGATCGTTCTCCTGATGAGCAGAGAAACATGCAAACATGCATTTCAAAGAACAAAAACCTCTCATTGTAACAGGGTGACTTTTGAGTCGACTCAAAAGTCAACAGGATGCACATGCTCAGAAGTCACCTAAGAACAAAAACCTCTCATTGAGTGCTAACATACCGCACAAGCAGAAGAGCAAATACCGCACTCGTGCATTTGAAGTACATATGCCCACATGCAGTTTTCGAACTTATGTACACATGCATACACATTCATTTCTTTAAGGCATATGCACACGTGCGCACATAAAACACAAAAACGCCTATATCCTTTCAAAACGCATGCATCTATGCACACATGTGATCGGTTGTAAGCCCACACGCATGCGTTTATGAAAATATGCACACACAAGGGAACATAGATATACACAGTATGAGATATAAATCATGCATACAGTGTGCAGATATGAGAAAACATAATTACGAACAGGAAAATGTGGGTAGACATGCTTACGAGGTGACATTTCAATGGACTCAAAAGTCAACAGGCAAATGTGGGTAGATATGCACATGCATACACCAATCCATTGACCCACACCTGTCTCCTTGTCCCGTTTTGGACACATTGCAGCGTTGACCCTCACATGCAGCGTTGACCCCCACATGCAGTGTTGACCCTCACCTGCAGCGTTGACCCTCACCTGCAGCGTTGACCTTCACCTGCAGCGTTGACCCTCACCTGCAGCGTTGACCCTCACCTGCTGCACTGCCGCTATCCTTCCTTCCAGCTGCTCGTTCTCCCTCTACTTCGCCTCACACTCCCCCTTTAGACCCTGGTCCTAATGTAATGTGATAAGCATCGTCGTATGGCATGGCATGGCATGGCATGGCATGGCATGGGACTCACACAGCGTTGCCCCTCTCTCACCAGTTGCACTGCAGCTATCCTTCTTTCCAGCTGCTCGTTCTCCCTCTCCTTCGCCTCACACTCCTCCTTTAGGCCATGATCATCATGTGAATAAGAAGCACTGTATGGCATGATGTGACCGTGTTCCCAATCACTCACCTGCTGTACTGCCGCAATCCTTCCTTCCAGCTGCTCGTTCTCCCTCTCCTTCGCCTCGCATTCCTCCTTTAGCCCCTGATGATTGTGTGGCATGACATGGCACGGAATGGCATGGAGTGACATATAGTTGATTGATATTAAAAATAAACTACTGCTTCATCAAGTTCCAAACGATTCTAGTACAGACAAGGATAGGAGATCAAGCTACTTTTGAGGCGCCTCAAAACGAGATCAAGCTACTTTTGAGGCGCCTCAAAACGAGATCAAGCTACTTTTGAGTCGTCTCAAAACGAGATCAAGCTACTTTTGAGGCGCCTCAAAACGAGATCAAGCTACTTTTGAGGCGTCTCAAAACGAGATCAAGCTACTTTTGAGGCGTCTCAAAACGAGATCAAGCTACTGCGTCGTCACGCTCCTGGAATGGCTGTCTTGTACATCATGTCACACCTTGCATGTGTCACACCTTGCATGCTTGCGTCACCATTGTGCATGCTTAGGTCACCATCATACCTCCATGCGTCGTCGCTTCCTCTCCCTTGCTTGCTGCGCATTCACCCTGTTCCTCATTAACCTGCTCGACAGACCGCCAACCTCAAAACACCACACGCGCATGGATGAAGGCAGAAACGAGGTCACAGGCGAGAGGTGAGAGGTGAGAGGAGATAGACAGAGGAGAGAAGATAGTGGACAGAGGAACGAGAAGGGAGATCTCACCTCCTGTTTCGTCGACAGTCAGAAGATGCACCTCTGCCCGCCTCAATGCCAATTCTGCCCGCATAAGTGGCATCTCTGCCCGCCTCAGTGCCACCTCTGTCCACGTCAGCCACTGTGGCACTTTCAATCCCCCCTCGCGCCACCACCCCACCTTCATCAGCCTCTCGCTCCATCAACCCCCCTTCCTCCCCTCCTTCCCCCACCAAATCCCCTTCTCCCCTTGATTTCTCCCCCCCTCCCACTACCACCCTCTCTTCCTCTCCTCCTTCCGCCACCAACCCCCCTCCCACCGCCCCTTCCTTCCCCCCTTCCCCCATCAACTCCCCTTGCTCCCCTCCTGCTTTCCCCCCTACCACCACCACCCTCTCCTCCTCTCCTCCTTCCACCACCAACCCCCCTTCACCCCCTGCTTTCTCCCCACCTTCCTCCCCCAAAGCGGCATGCACCTGCCCTAGCACAGCCACTGCTCCTGCCACTGCCACGTGGCTGGCGCTGACTGGCTCCCCTGCCGCCCCAGCCACGTGGCTAGCGCTGATTGGCTGGCCTGGCCCCACAGCCAAGTGACTGCCGCTGCTGCCGCTGGTGTTAGACCCGATGGAAGGCGTGAGGCGCCTATAACGAGGATATGACTGCTTCCTATCCTTGGGGCAGCTAAAACCTCTCATAACCTGCTCAGAACTCCCAGGGGAAATCATCGGGTCTGCTGGTAGGGTCGACGGTGCAGGTAAAATCAGCCGAGGGGACAGAGCTGGCCGGAGTGGGAGAATCGGTTGCAGGGAGAGCGGCGGTCGTGTTGCGGATAAGGTAAGATTCATGGGTCGAACTTGGCCGTTAGATCCCGACGCAGACGTCCTTGATGGCCTCGGGATTACCTGCGTTTTGTTTATCTTCTTGCCCAGATTCCCTGCCTCTTCCAGTCTGCCGCGTAGGCCCCCCGCAAACCTTGCTGCCCCTCCATTTCCTGCCTCTCCAGTCGTAGCATTTCTCCGACTTTCATCTGAAGGGATCACTTCACTTCCTAAGGACCAGCCAGGAGCAACCGGGTAGCACACTGACCCCCTTTTCTCAGATTCCCTTTCTTGAGTCGATCCCTTTTCTTGCACAGGTCCCATTGCTTGTATGGATCTCGTTTCTTGCAAGAAAATCCTGCTTTTCTGCGAAAGTGTTGCTCCTTTCCCCCGTCCTCCTCCCCCTCCTCCTCCTCCTCCTCCTCCTCCTCCTCCTCCTCCTCCTCCTCCTCCTCCTCCTCCTCCTCCTCCTCCTCCTCCTCCTCCTCCTCCTCCTCCTCCTCTTCCTCTTCCTCTTCCTCCTCCTCCTCCTCCTCCTCCTCCTCCTCCTCCTCCTCCTCCTCCTCCTCCTCCTCCTCCTCCTCCTCCTCCTCCTCCTCCTCCTCCTCCTCCTCCTCCTCCTCCTCCACCTCCTCTTCCTGGTAACCCTCCCATTGGTAACCACCCCCCTGGTAGCCCTCCCACAGGCATCACTCCTGCTGGTAAACCCCCTGCTGTTAACCTTCCTTCAGATAACCCTCCTGTTGGCAACCCTCTCGCTGATAATCCTCCTGCTGGTAACCCTCCTGCTGGTAACCCTCCTGCTGGTAACCCTCCTGCAGGTAACCATCTCCCTGAAAGCTCTGCTGCTGGTAACCCTCCTGTTACTGCTCCTCCTGCTGGTAACTCTCCCGCTGGTAACCCTCCTGCTCGTGACCCCCCTGCTGGTAACCCTCCTGTTTGTAACCCTCCTGCTGGTAACTTTCTTGCTGATAACCCTCCTGATGGTAATCCTCTTGCCGGTAATGGTAACCCTCCTGTTGAAAGCCCTCCCACTGGTAACCCTGCTTCTGGTAACAGTTCTGCTGGCAACCCTCCTGCTGGTAACCCTCCTGCTGCCTGCCCTCCTGCTGGTAACCCTCGTTCTGGTGATGTTCCTGCTTGTAAAACTCCTGCTGCCAACCCTCCTGCTCGCAACTGTTGACCTGGTAACAGCCCCCTTGGGAACGCTCTGCCTCGTAACAACTCTTCTAACCCACCCTGTAACAGCCCACGCTGTAACAATTCACTCGGTAACAACCTACCTTGTGACAAACCACCTTGTAACAACCCACTTTGTGACAGTCCACCTCGTAATGAATCGCCTTGTAATAATGAACCACCTTGTAATAATGATGACCCAGCTTGTAATAACCCACTCTGTAACAAGCTACATTGTAACAACTGCCCTGTAACATGCACCGACTGAGCGAGTGGTTGGGTCAGTACAGATTGTCCAGAGGGAAATGGAACTGCACCAGTCGGAGTTCTGGCTGGTGGAAAACTGGTCAAAGGTGGAAGCTGATTGGCTGTCGCACTGAAGGGTGAGTTTGAAGGGGGATGTGACTGTAGTGAAGTTGGCAGAATGCCACGAGGTTGTGATTGTATCGTGGCTGTTCGTGAGTCTAAGACGGGCCTTGCCTGGCTGTACTGATGCTGGAGAGATGCAGCGGCTGAATGCCCTGTGTCAGAGGAGGGTAGGAGAGGGAAGAGACGATCAAGAGGAGTTGTTGAAGTCTAACATTGCCAAAATTAAAACTGCTATGCGAGGGAACATAAAGATTTCCTGATAAACAGGTAAACAGACATAAAACAACTTGTAACGTAACAGGCGGAAAAAAAAACGTAAAACATAAGACCAATAGGTATTGTGGAGTTGCCAAAAAAAAAGGAAAAAAATCACCTGTCGGAGAAACAGTAGATGCACTTGTGTGTTGGTGGTCATTCGTCGGTAATTGGGCAGGCTTATCGCTTGCTATATGACCCATTAACATCTCTGTATGAGCCACTATCGTATTGCCATGTCTGAAAGGGACGAAAGCAAGTAAGATTTTTTTTTTTGGAATATGAAGTAGATTAACACAAGTGAATAATAATCCGATTTTTATCACGCACATGCCCCTCTATGATCCCAAAAACAACAGCCACTTCGTATTTACCATACCTTGAGATGGAGCATTTGCAATCCTATGCAATCATCTGATACTTTTTTAAAAGCGTATAACGGACCGTACCTTGAGACGGGAACGCGTTGCTGTGATTCCTCCGCAAACCTTCCACAGCTGGCTAGGGTTTCAAAAGCCTCCGCATACTGCCTCGTGGAAGCAACTTCTCTCCTGAAAACCCCCTCATTTCTCGTTTCACGCTGCTGTAGCTGCTGCTTCTGCTCCAAATTCTCTCGTTCGTGCAACTGGAGCTGTTCGTGTCGCCGCGGCTGCGCTTGTCCAGTTAGTACTAGTCCTAGTAGCTGCTGCTGTTGCGCCGCTGCCTGAAATTCCTGTCCCGTTGGTCGCTGTTGCGGTGCCTGAAATCTCTCCGCGGGTGGACCTTGGGGTTGCCGGGGCGCTGACTGCCTCGTCACCTGATTTGTCTCGAACCCTGCGGATCCCGTCTGGATAGTTGGCGATGAAGCCGTTAGGGTGGTCCTAAGACCAAGCGCCGCGGTGTGATCCGCTTCGTCGCTGCGTATCGTGGAAGGCATGGCGAGATCCCTTCCGCCGCCGCGGCTGCTGAGGCTGTCTCGCTCGGCAGCGGCGGCGGCGGCGGCGGAGGCGTCGAGTCGCATGCGGTTTGCATGTCGCTGCAGCAGAATGGTCGCTAGAAGACTGTCGTTGCTGCGATTGCGACTCCGATTCTCACCCTGACCTCGATTCTGGTTTCGAGTCTGATTTTTGTTACTCTTGCTCGGACTCTGCTTCAGGCTCGTATTCTCGTTCAGGCTCAAACTCTGGTCTAGGCTCGAACTCTGATCTAGGCTTGAAGTCTGATTTAGGCTCGGACCCTGGTTCGGACTCGATCCCTGGCTCAGACTCTGACTCCCACTGGCGGTCGGAGGGAGGCGGCTCATTTTCCTACAAGAGGTGCTAAATAGCCAACGCGCCGTGGTAGTCTCGTGAATCTAGTTCTGCTGCATGGAGCTCGCGACGCTACCCTTATCACGTCCGCGTCTAGGCCTCTAAAAATTCCAGCGTTCGAGTCTTGGAATCCCCTGTTAGACCTCCCCGCAGAGACTTTGCGAGCGGAAAGCGCGACCGAAACTGACGACTCCACGCTGCAGCTTTGATTTGCTAGTCGCACTAATGATTTCGGAGGCCGCTGTGCGCCGCTGTTGCTAGCGGCCGCTTCTTTTGCTAGCGGCCGCTTCTGCTGCTAGGCGCGCCGCCGCGGACCGTCGCTGATTAGGAGCGTCGGTTGTCTAGAAGGGCTGCTGAGCGCTGTGTACTACACTTGGCAGTGTAACGATTCCTAGGGGCAGGCGTTTGGCGCAGCTTGAAACGTTCTTACCAAACTTACTAAGTCTTCCACAGCTATTTTACCGTAGAGCCGATCGTGGATTTGCGCAGCACTCCAGCTGTTGCGAAGGGGAACCGTGCGATTGCTTCTTCGTGTAAACCGGCGCATCCATCACGCGGTTAATTTTGCGACGATGTGACGATCACGCGATCACATCACATCGGCACCCCTCGCGTAGTAGTATGTAGTATCATGAAGTAGTCTCGGGCTTTGCTTATCTCGTATGACTCATCGCAGGAGTGTCAGCATCTCTCGATTCCAGAAGGTGGGAGCCGCCAAACCGAAAGCCTGACAGCCTTGAAGACAGTACCCGGTGATACATTACACGCACACAGCGGCATAGATGATCCTCCGGAGTAACGGTCGGGCTCAAGTGCTGCGAGAAGCACTAAAAAAGGACGAAGTCGGGAGATTCTCAGAGATGGCCTGGATTCGCTAGTTGTGATTTTCCGATTGCCCGCTTGGAAGAGTACGTACCCCGCGTTGAACGGGAGTTCTCAGCGTCAAAATCTCGCGTTTCTGCTCCCTTGGGATATGTGCGGCGACCACGGCGGAATCAATAGCCCCTGGCCAAATCCCCCACGTGGCTGTCGTCAGCACACACGGCACCGGAAGCGTTGCAGAAAAGTTTCGAATCTCAGCAATCTCGAGGTGACTTTTGAGTCGACTCAAAAGTTTCGAATCTCAGCAATCTCGTCAGGAGACTGGAGCCTTGCGTTCCCGCTCTTGTTGGTGGTTCGACTGCGCGGGCGTGAAGCGTAGTGGGTCGTTGTTGATGGATCGAAAGGAGAACAGATTCGGCGGTGTTTGTTGGCGATCGTGGTGGGTGCGCCCGTCACGCTGCCGTACGATTAGCCGAAAGGTACTTGCAACTTCGTTGCTCCCGACCGTATGAGTTAGTGTGCCAGCCAAAAAGGGTGCTTCGTAGGACAAGAGCGCAATACGAGGCGGGCTGTCTGCGTGCAGCGTGGCTGTAAGCACAGCTGTACGCGTGCTGAAACAATCGCGCCAATCTCAAGGGAGTTTTCGAAGGGCGTGAAGGTCTGAGCCTGGAAGGAAGTTGAAGCGAGCTGCTAAAGCACTCGTCTCGACTCTCGCTGCATGAAATTGTACGATAGTACGGAAAGGAAGGATGCTTGCGGCGGAATTTGACGAACAAGCCAACGCTTTGTACTACTGAACTGACTGTCAGCTACCTCATCGCCAGTCAGTCTAGCTAAATACAGCTGCTGTAACGTTTGTTGCTTTCCCGTCATCAGAGGCTGTTCAAATGATGCCGCAGACTTCACTTTGCGGACATTACTCCCTTTCAGCAGCGGCTGGCTGATGGACGGGACACGAAATTCGACTCCGAGTCGGCCTAATGATGCGGAAATTGCTTCTGACCGACTTTTGACTCAGGATTCCTCCTAATGCGACGCGATTGGCATGGGATTCAGTTTCACCGCATCGAAAGAGGGTGGCGTTTGGGCGTATTTTCATAGATTGCTGACAGGCATGCTACGGATCAAACAAGTGTTGATTGATGTTGTGGGCGAGAACACGACACGCTGCAGCAATGGACCGGAAGTTGTTGGTCATCAGTTTCGGGAAGTGTGTTCTGTACCTTGTTTGAGACACGAGTGAAGGAATGTAGGGAATGGTGGAAGTGAAAGTGGAGAGAAAATGGGAGAGCAAAAAGAAGGATGGAATGCGGTTGAGAAGAGCTGAGACGCTTCTGGAGGCTTTATTTGGCTAGGGGCGAGCAGAACTCTCACTGGAAAAGACTGTTCGCCTAAGGCTTTCTTAGAAGAACCAAGAACCAAAGTTGAAAAGGCTTCCGGAAAACTGTTTATTCTGGAAGCAGTTTGTTTCCTAAGCATTTTGTGCGTCTTTCCATTTTGGGAATCATCGGTTCCATTCTGGAGCCCCCTTTACGGAGGAATGCCACGAAAGCTGGCCTTCCACCCCGCGTCCCACAAACGCAACACGAGTGCGGGACATAAGTGCTACTTACAGCTGGGTTTTCAGTTTCCCAACTCTACATTCTAGCGTGTGCAAAGAGCGAGTGAAATTGTGAAGGTTGATGCGCTGTCGGTCAGCAAATATACTTTCAAGGGCTGCCAGCACCACCATCCCACCAGCCGCACCACATAGCGACTCGCTGTAAAACGTCTGCCTCAAACCGTGGAGGTAACGAGATTATACTGTAGGAAGTCGTGGCGTTCTTGGAGACACATCCGTGGCATTCTATTATTTGTCCACGGATGAACCGAACAGTTGACCGGACTGTAATTTGGCAGTGCCCCTCGAGGAGACGAGCAAATATGCCACAAAGGTCAACTCCACCAAAAACCTCTTAACAATAAAGAGATCATACGTGTAATCATTCGAACCAAGGCTACACATCAGAAAAAGAGTGAAAATAAAACATTCAATCAACAACTGAATCTGCTCTCAATATTAATAAAAACCCCTTTCATCCTCCCTCCTCTTGCTCCTCTTCCTCCTCTTCCAGCGCATCCCTAAACAGCAGCTGGAAAACAGGCACCAACTCCGGCAGCCTCGGCAGATCACAAAAATTCACCGACATCAAATCAAACGCAATCGCCGCACTCCCACCTTCGCCGCCCTCCGCATCCCCGCCGCCCGCACCACCATCCCCTCTCTTCTTATTTTTCACCGGGGGCGCGAGCCGGGGGATTTTGGGGTAGCGTTGGCTGAAGTGGGTGAGAATGGTGCGATAAGCCGGGGCAGATGCACCCACCTCTACTGCCTCGCTCGTCGTGCTGTGCTTACGGGCTATCGCCTCGTGCTGCAAATCATCCTCAAATGTCGCCTGGGAGGGTGTGAGGGAGAGGGATGGGAGGGAAGGACGGGTTACAGGTGAGGAAGGTAGTGGTGCTGGGGAAGGGTACCCTCTCCTACTGCCTCACTCGTCGTGCCATGTCTTCTCACTATGGTCTCATATGCATATGCTGCAAATCAACCCCAAAGATTGCCTAGAAACGTGGAAAAGAAATGGATGGACGTATGGGATGGAAGGGGAGAAGGTGAGGAAGGTAGTGGTGCTAGGGAGGGGACCCTCCTCTACCGCCGCACTCGTCGTGTTGTGACTTCTCCCTATGGCCTCATGCTACTGGTGGGATGGACGGGATGGAAGGGGAGAAGGTGAGGAAGCTACTAGTGCTGGAAAGGTACCCACCTCTACCACATTTACTGCCCCTCCAGCACCACAGCAAACGCCTGGGGGCAATGCACTACGAGCAAAATCTCTAGCCTGATCAGCTCCAACGAAGATACGTTCGCCACTTACCTCGTGAATCAGCACCGTGGCTCCTCGACTCGCCGCCCTCACAGTATCACACGGCCGAGTATCACCCGAGTACACCAGCTTCCAGGAATCTTCCTCCCCACTCCCCCCCTCTCGCCCTCTCACCCAACCCTCCAGCACCACAGCAAACGCCTGGGGGCAATGCACCACAGGCACACTCTCCAGCCGGGTCAGCCCCAGCGCAGATAACACCTCCCCCAGCTGCTGCCTGCCTGGCTCGTCCAAACCCCCGTCCTCCAGGTGGAACCCTGTTTTGAGCCAGAAGGGGCGCAGGCCCCTCCTGTCCCTCTCTCTGCTCTCCCGGTTGTCTCGGTTCTCTTGGTTGTCTAGGTTTTTAACGGCTGATTCAGTTC